TGTACTTCTAGTACACATTTGGACATCCAGAAATAAGATGTTTTGATTCTGAAAAGTCAGAGGTTGTACGGAGGGTGGGCAGCACTAACAAATATTAAAAGTGGCGCATGTCTCCACTCTAACTTTATTAACTTCCTCATTATTATTGTCCTACCAGGTCTCCTTGGATAACTTGTGTCATAATTTAACTTCATGACATTTAAAAATTAAATAAGTTAATGCAATTATGTCCACTTTTCTTAAATATTTTTATTGTAACCTACAAAAGCTTAATTTATTTTAGAAATCATTCACTATCCCTAACTTTGGATTAGTCAGCTTCATTTTTCATTGTTTTACTACTTCATATAATGCATTTCTAGCAACGTACTTTAAATACCGCAAGGTTTGTTATTACTAATACAGGCGTTAAAAAACGTTTTCAAGATGATAGTTTAATTTCATCATAACCAATTTTAAAGTTTTCAGTCTTCCAAGTTTTCTAGATAGTTTAGAAGATCAGGAAAAGTTTGGTTTTAGTCAGAAAAAATGTCCACAATCCTAATTTTTTTCTTTAGAAAAAATTTCGTAATTTTTCGGCGAATTTGTGGCGTTATCATTAGCACACTTTTCAGAAATTCCAAAACAATTATTTAAACTTTATATATTCTACTTACTGAGTAATCCTCTTAAAAATAGTGGAAAGTTTTGGTTTTCGTCAATATTCTCATAGTAAATCTTCAAGGGTTATTCAGATTTAACGGCAGAACACTAGCTTTTGCTTGGCTTTGGGTTTTTACTCGGATTATCAACTTCTTTTAGACATTTAGACATTTAATGAGACCGCGGGACTGCCTTACCCTCATATTTTTGGTTATCCCTTTGGAAGACAGACACCTTTATTGAATATAGAAAATTCGCTCAGTTTGAGTTACTTTCTAGAGTTTACCATGTAGTGGTGAGGTTAACTAATGCCATGTTTCAGTTTCAGTTTGGAAAGGACAGGAGGCTTGATGGCCTGTGTTAGTCCTGGCAATGATGATCTCTCAGCTGATCCAACTTTCTTTTGAAGGAGTCGACGGATGGAGCCTCAACCACGTGCTGAGGTAATGAATTCCATTCGTTGATTATTCGATGGGAAATTCGGTAGTCAGCTGACAAGTAATCCGTTCTGGGCTTGTGAACTTCTTTGGAGTGTCCTCGTAGATTTTCTGTTTTGGAAGACAAGAAAAATGACGACATATCAGGTGCAAATTTGTCATTAAGCAATTTGAAAACTGTAATCAAGTCGCCTCTGATTCTTCTATATGACAGCGGGAATAGGTTTAGCTTTGTCAGTCTAGTACCATACGGGAGCTTCGCTATTCCGGGAATCAGCCTAGTTGCTGTTCTCTGAACCCTTTCCAAGAGTTCACTGTCTTTTTTAGACAGGGACTGGCTGCTTGTATGCAGTACTCAAGTTTAGGGCGTACGAACACTGTGTACAAAGTCAGAAACGTTTTAGCGTCCAGATGCCTAAAAGCCCTGTGTATGGACCATAAATTTCTAAAACCTTTGGCGGCTATTGCACGGCAGTGTGCAGTAGTCTTTAAGTCTTGACTAACGATGACGCCTAAGTCATTGTGTGCCTGGACAATAGGTAACTCAGTGTTATTCATCGTGCATGTATCTGTACCCTGGTGGCCAATATGCATCACAATACACTTGGAAGTGTTTATCGGCAATTGCCAGGTTTGGGACCATTCAGATAATCTCTCCAGGTCATTTTGAAGTTCTAAGCTATCGCCCTTGCTTTGTATCGCTCTCCATATCTTGACATCATCAGCATAGAGTAAGACCGATGACGATATTAGACGAGGGAGATCATTTACGTACAGGAGGAATAACACTGGCCCCAAAACTGTACCCTGGGGGACTCCACTAAGCACAGTTTCCCAGCTAGACAACTTGCAGTTCACCCTTACTCTTTGTTGACACCCAACTAGGAAGTCTTTTATCCACATCAATAGATTGCCTCCAATCCCGACATTCCTTAGCTTATATAACAGCCGGTTATGCGGAACTTTGTCGAAAGCTTTGCTGAAATCGATGTAAGCTACGTCTATAGGTAATTTTTGATCCTTAAGAGCGCACCAGCTTTCACGATCGACTAATAAGTTTGTGAGACAAGAGTAACCTGTTCTAAAACCATGCTGCTTTTCGGAGAGGATCCGGTTTTCATCGAGATACTTTAATAGCTCCTTCCGAATAATCTTTTCTAAGATTTTAACAACCACACTAGTTAGGCTAATTGGTCGGTAATTCTCAGGCTTATGTTTTGTACCTGTTTTGAAGACAGGACTTACTATGGCGTTCTTCCGGTATTTTGGTAGACGACTCTGGGTTACGGATAGATTAAAACATATACTTAAAGGGTTCGCAACAAAGTTAGCTAATTCCTTTAGTAACCTAGGGTGCAGTTCATCGGGTCCAGTGGATTTACCTATGTCAAGCTTAATTAGCAGACCAAAGACATCGAGTTCTTTAATGGTCACGCTGTCCAGTGTTTGTGTGGGGGGATTTTCATGGGCTGGTGAGAAGGGTGTTTCTATGGTATATATATTTCTAAAGTATTTAGAGAATACTTGAGCTTTGCCAAAGTCGTCTTCCACTAGTGATGAGGTAGTACTGTCTCCCCATAATGAGGGAACATTTCTTCTTCTTTTTGTCTTTTGGTTTATATACGAATACAAGCGTTTAGGGCATTCTATGGATTTTCTTCGTACAGCTTTCTGGACTTATGGAGGGTCGAGGCACAGGTATTTCGAGCCTTTTGATACTGAGATTTTGCCTCATCCGTCCCCAGTAACCTAAATCTATCCCACATTTTCCTTTTTTTATGGAGAAGGATGCGAACCTCCCTACTGAACCACGGTGGGGAGTTTCTCGGCCCCCTAGGTGTAGTCCAAGGGATGTGGGGGGGGGCGGTAACTTTTAAGTATAAATTCCGGAATACATCCCAAGCCGTTTCGATTGATGACGCTGGGTCTATTGTTCAATCTACTGATGATGCTGATTTCATGATGTCTGGCATGTTTGCCTTCCAGACGTTAGGTCTGGATTGAGCTGAGGCGTGCTTGTGATTGACAGTTATATGGAAGTCAAAGGTTAAAACTGCATGATCACTTTTACCTAGGGGTGGCATGTAATCCAGGTTTGCAACGTCATCTTCATAATGAGTTGATATAAGATCTAAGGATGATGCACAGCCCGGGTCGTACCTAGTTGCTTCCTTCACGTGTTGCACATGTGATTACCGCATCAACTAGTTCCTGTTTGAAGGAATTATCTGACGATTCAGTTCGCAGATTTCCCCAGTCTACCATGGGTGCATTAAAGTCCCCTAGGATTAGACATCGACCACTTCGTGACAAAGTGTTGAGACTGCTTCGCAGGACCTCGTTTAACTCACAGCTTGAACTGCGATAGATCAAACTAAGCAGTAACTCTTGTTACTTGCATTTCAGGCGGCAGCTAAGTAGTTCATACGTCCCACTCTCATGAGATACACTGTCGATAATGGTGAATGGAATAGCATTCCTAATGAATAGAGCTACTCCCCGTCCTTTACGCTTTTGTATTCTATCGGCCCTTACTAATGTAAAACCCTCGAAATCAAGTTCCCTACTATCTATAGACGGCATCAGTTACGTTTCTGTGACTGCGATTATGTCTGGCCTAGTTGAGTCAATCTGTACACTTAGTTCCGATAGCTTATTGAGCAAGCTCCGGGTATTGGTATAACAGATCCGAAGCCTATTTAAGTGGCCTCGTGCTTCACCCAGAGTGGCTTCGGCATCATCTTCTGTCGAAGCCTCACAACCTGAAAATTGTAAATTTTGGGGCATGACTTGGTTGAGTAGTTGTTTTATCAACACAATGTCGTGCTCAAAACGAGCTTTCGGTTCTGAGCTCTCACTCTCCTCGACTCTATAGAAAATGACTGTTCTGTCGCTGTGATCAGACTTCGGCTTTTCGATCTTTTTGGTGGGGGTAGGATTCCCTTTTACGTCATTTTGTCGTTTTTTGCTTACGACCCGTACCCAATTGTAAACGTTCTTTGGATTAGTAACCACAGTCTCGTCAGGCGTACTATGGGATTCCGGAGGGTTGAGGACGACTTGGGAGGTTGGGTCGTCTTTCGCGCTGGAAATTGACCGAGCCTTGCGGTTTCGGCTTCCGGAAGTTCCCTTCTGGGTACCATTTTGGATACGAGAGGCAGAAGAGACTTTTTACGCGAGTTTCTGGTTGGGACAGACCTCTTTGAAGGTTGTCCTTCCACCTTTGGACGATGTGGGTCAGCATTTCTTGGACTCACTTGTTCCTGCCTTACGTCAGTCTGCGTGTCGACAGATCGAGTTCTGACCAACGTGTCCCGACCGCGCTTGCCGAGACACTTCTTCGCAGCATTGATCATTGAGATGGCCTCAGTCAACAGGTTATTTGCGTCCAGACAGCACTGTTGACATAGCCATATGCAACCATTCTTACTAAACCGTTTGAAAGCCGCAGGTGTTAGTTTCGTGCAAACTTCGTGGTACCGACCGTCTCACTCGTCGCACTGCATGCCGCTGTCAACGGGATATCGACATCCTGGGCGCTGGTAAATGCTTTTGTTGCACCTTCCAGTCATTTGAGGATGAAAAAGTTAGTTTTGACCAAAAGTAGAAAAAACTGTAAATAGTTAGGACCAAAGTACTAACAGATACAATAGAAAAAACAAGGTACTCTAGAGTACCGACGATAAACTATTTTAGAAACCAAAAATGGTACTCTAGTCGAATACTTTAACTGAATGAAATTCAATCAAAGTATAAACAGTAGTCTTGACACGTTAATAACGATCAAAACAATAGAATTTACTCAACGAGGAAGTTCGAAATATGACACATGAATTTGTATCCATATTTTCCTACTAGCGATTGTAAGCGAATTCACATAGAACCAAGGATAGTGAGTGAGATAATGTGCTGACATTAAAAGCGAAATTCAAATAACCGAACTATTGATCAAAGCATGCGCGCATAGGTACAAATGCTAATGAAAATACAGTATCGGTCATCTCATGATAAGAGAAGTAACCATGAAGCATGTTAATGAGTCAGAGACCTGTCAAATACTAGTTACCAATTGTGTAGTCCTCCTTCTAAGTTTTACATTTCAATCCAACCGGGATTTTTTTAAAGACTTCTGGTTTAACTTTTATCTCTATAATTTTCGTCGATCTGAAAACGAATTTTTGCGTCGAGGAGACGATAACGTGTAGTCTAAATAGCAAATAAATTTATAGTGATGCCATTAAAAACTAATGGATACCCAAATATCAGTATGATCTGGGAAACTAGAATACAGACATCCTAATATAACATACGCTTAATATTTCTGAGTAGCAAGGTCGATATATAAAGACAATATATAAGACTATGTCCTATGAATTTGTACAGGGAGCCAGATTAGAAAGTTTCTAAATAGCGACTGGCACTACAAGTTTGCATTCTAACTATCTATGTAGCTTATGATGTATAGAATCATTATTGCAGGTCAATTTAGCGATTATCTTAGCAATATTAGGTTCAAGTGACTAGATTTTTGTGCTCATAGAGTATTTCATATTTATCTTCATTATTTGATAAACTGAAAGACATACTGTCACTAAAACGGCTTATTTTGAGTAATATACGCAACTCATGTTACGGATTTATCGTGGTACGGTAGTACAGAAGTACTTACAGAACTCTTCAATGCTATTAATCCAAAAACCAATCAACCTTCGTGCTATTTTACCTTCACCTATGTCCTACAGGTTTCACATAAGTAAGTATGCTTATTATTATTGTATCTTTAAATGTAGAATTCAAAACATAGGGTTTCGAAATATTTGGGGCTTCACAGTAACTTTTCCAGATTCCCTTGAATTATTTACCTAGGAAACAGAGGATACGTATCTCATGTCATCCGAAAAAATCTGAGCCCTAGAAGTCAATATGAACAGGGTGCTACAGTCGAAATGAAAATAGACGCACATAACAAAGTAACGTTTTTTCTACGTGCATAACTTTGACCACAATTAACGACGTAGTTCACTCTGATGTAAAAACATGAGGTGTTGGCTTATTGACGTATCTGTTGCTAATCTCTCAGTCAAGTTTATTTTCCGATTTTTATTCAAATAGAACAATATATCACACACTAAATACCTAGTGCAAATAACCAATACCATTAAAAACTGTCGATTACCAACAGTAAAACTAAACAGCTAATCAATTCTATTGAGCAGATCTCTATTCTGGCAACTAGTTCATTGAGATTATATTAAATGTTTAGAAAACCTCTTGATAATTACATCAAATCTGAATGTAAACATCATAGAGATTCAAAAGTGTCAAGTGGTACTGCGCAATTTATTGAGGCTCAAGTCGTTAAATATACCTCCAGTTGGTTAGTATTTCTAAGTAATCTGTCTTCAGATCTCTTCGTTCAGTATCATTTATTACTGTTACCAAGGTATCCAATTTGTTAATCTAAATTGTAGTTGCAAATGACTGCTATCTATACGTTATTGCCCCCCCCCCAAAAAAACAATAACCAATTACAAAATTTATAAACTTGAATGGATTATTAGCAAAAAAACTGCGTAAACATCCAGCTAATCTCTCCAATGTGATAAATAGCACTGTACTTAAATTTCTTCTTAGTATTTCCTAGTTAGTTTGAAAACACATTCCTGACTGTCAACTCACTTTACCACTTAACTTTTCGTAAAGAAAAGTATAATCAAGGGAATAAACTTATTACCAGTCCGAAAAAATTAACCGTAATAAAAAAATTTATAATTCGGCTGATTGTTGCTGTTTGTGTTATATTCACACTGATAACCGGTTTTAATTTCAAAGTTTCTTTTTCATTCTAGACAGTATTATTTACAAAAACTACAAAAAAAGACCTGAATTACTAATTTATATCAGAAGATAAACTTAAAGATGGATAGTGGCTAGCAGTGGAATCCAGTTTGACGCGCGTTTCGTCCTATTCAACACTAGTCAGCTGGATCTACCTGCATCTCAGAGTTGATGTTCACTCTGGGACTCGAACCCAGTACCTTTTGCTTCAAACGCCATCGCATTATCCATTCGGCCACTGAGTCCTGATAGCCACTTGCTTGTGCAATGGGTTGAAGTTTTAATTCACTTGGTATTGTTTGTTTGAATCTTCTCATGGATATTTAGGACTGCAAGTGGTCAGTCTCTAATTGGCATATGTGCATACTGTGCGTATTACCTCCATATAGTCTGAATTCACAAGCTAGCCACTATCCATCTTTGCTTTACCAATTAGAGACTGATCAGTTTCAGTCCTAAAATATCAATGGGAAGATTCAAACAAACAATACTAAGTGAATTCGAAGATAAACTTGTTTGATAACATGGAATGTACATAAACTAAACTAATTTTCGTAACCTGAGTAATCCTAAATCTCCACTTAATTCTGTTTGAGTTTATTACTGAAGAAGCTCATTTCAAACAGATGAAACCAGTTATTGGTCTATGGTAGCACGTTTTCATTATTGAGATTATTTAGTGGTATTTCTTACTACTATTTTCCAATCATCCCTTTTTTTGGCTACTTTGTCATTATTCATATCATTATGTATTTACAAACTTATTTGATAAGTTCACAAAATGAATTTATCATCAAGTTCAAGAACACACATAAAGAATTTTACCAAGGGTCAATATTACAAGTCATATATTTTTTACTATAGACTCAATCTACTCAGCAGGAACTATGATTTGAAACAAGATTCTAATGAGGTCACATTATCGAAATATGAAAGAGTTATAATTACTAGTGCTGGTAAAATATCTTACTATAAATCAATATTTCGGGGTAACAAAATGTTACACATGTTACTAAGTTGTTTTAAGTAATATAATGAATTTTATAAAATTAATTACCATTTCTATTTATACCTTCTATAGAAGTAACATTTTGGTAGATCAAACCATTTTCACTTCATAAAACTACATATAAGTCTTATAAACTGTTTGACATCGTTGTATATTCTTTATAAGAAAAATCGCTTATATTTGTTCAACTATATATACCCAATAACATGGGTCTAATTGGTTCGTTATTTAAATGATAAATAACATTAAGGTATCACTGTACATCAACTTTATTAACTACGAGAAAGCATTTGATAGCGTGGACAGGACAACACTATGGAAGCTTCTTTGACACTACGACGTACTTGAGAGGATAGTCAATATCATACAGAATTCCTATGATGGATTAAACTGCCAAATCGTTCATAGAGGACAACTCACCGACTCATTCGAAGTAAAGACTGGTGTTAGGCAAGGTTGATTACTCTCACCCTTTCTCTTTCTCCTGGTGATCGACTGGATCATGAAGTTGTCAACATCTGGAGGGAAGCACAGGATACAGTGGACAGCTAAGATGCAGCTGGACGTTCTAAACTTTGCAGTTGTACTGGTTCTTCTATCACACACGCAACAACAAATGCAGGAAAAGACAAGAAGTATCGGAGCAGCCTCAGCAGCAGTAGGTTTCAATATACACAAAGAGAAAAGCAAGATTCTCCCATACCACACAGTATGCACCAATGGAATTACACTTGACGGAGAAGCTTTTGAGGATGTAGAAACCTTTACATATCTGGGCAGCATCATTGATGAACACGGTGGATCAGATGCAGATGTGAGAGCGCGGATCGGAAAAGCAAGAGCAGCATACCTACAACTGAAAAGCATCTGGAGCCCAAAACAATTGTCAACCAACACCAAGGTTAGAATTTTAAATACAAATGTCAAGACAGTTCTACTGTATGGGGCGGAGACGTGGAGAAATACGAAAGCCATTATCCAGAAGATACAAGTGTTCATCAACAGCTGTCTACGCAAAATACTTCGGATCCGATGGCCAGACACTATCAGCAATAAGTTACTGTGGGAGAGAACAAACCAGATTCCATTAGAGGAAGAAATCAGGAAGAAGCGCTGGAAGTGGATTGGGCACACCTTGAGGAAATCAGCTAATTGGGTCACAAGACAAGCCCTCACATGGAATCATGAAGGTCAACGGAGAAGAGGAAGACCAAAGAACATATTACGCCAAAAAATGGAGACAGACATGAGAAGAATGAACAAAAATTGGATAGAACTAGAAAAGGAAGGCGCAGGACAGAGTGGGTTGTAGAATGCTGGTCGGCGGCCTATGCTCCATTGGGAGTAAGAAGCGTAAGTATGTAGGTAAGTAATATTTGAATACAATTTATTTGATAATTTTCAAATCAATTTGTATTCTGATGGAACAAAAAATTTCCAAAATATTCTGTCATAAACAAACCTTATCAAATGCGATTTTACTATGTGATGGTTTCTTCTTTTATTAATATACACCAAACGCTCTTTTTCTGTGACATATATTGGATATGTATATATATGTATCTTTATAGAAATGATGACAATGACAAATCTTTCCAAGGAACAAGATGAAAATAATCAGGATGTATTGGAATTTGAAGATAATCTTGAGAAGATGTCACGCGACTTAGTCACAGATATTTTAAATCGGGCTAGATCTTCAATTACACATGAATCATTGGATACAAAACAGATTATGTTGCCTTCGCAAGATTTTGCATCATCACAACCACAGTTATCGATAACGACTCCATCTCCACCTAAATATGTTGGTGAAAATGATAAGAATGTGGAAGAATGTGCTAATGCGTTTGGCATTACACCAGTAAGTCAAAAGTCTGTCATAAATGAGGAGATTCAACCCTCAAATGTTCATGAAGATCTAACTATCCAACAAGCACCATCTGAAGAAAAGCTTCCTAATCAGTATCAAACAAAATTTGATTTCAAGTCAAATATTTTAAATGATTTCAGAGGTATTGGAGTTGGCTCAGCTACACCGGATACTCCACGTCAAAGAGATTATCAATGGAAATCAGGTATAGATTTACCTCCTACAAATAATACTCCTTTCACTCATTCATACAACTATCCTCAGAAACCTGTTTATTTAAGAGAAATGTCTTTGTCGCCTCCAAGTCTTTCACGTGATTTAATTAAAGATGATTTAATTACATCATCTCGACCAACCAATTCTAATTGTATTGACGAATTCACAACATCATGTCGAATGTTGACATACAGACAAGATTCCCCAACAGTTATAAATACAGATGATATTGAACAAAAGTTAAAACCATTTAGTATACCTCTACCAATCTATATTCCTTCAACAGCCTGTACACGTATTCTTAAACAATCTGAAGTTTATAAATTTACCGGAGACTATAATTCACAGCCAAGCAGACTTAGATACAATGATTCTGAAATTGGTAAATTATCACATAGTGACAGTATATCATCAGAATTAGAAAAACTAAGTAACGACCATAAAAACTATAGTTACGTAACAAATAAAAAACAATCTAAAAAACCAAATATACCCCGTTTACAATTACCTTCAAGTCCAAAACTATCACATTCACCTAAAACTAATTCAATAAGAATTCGTAAATCTTCATTACCACGTCATAGTATTCCAATAAGTAAATCAAACAATTTAAAAATACCGAAATCTACAAGTTCATCACTGTGTTGGTGGGAACCCCTTCATCAACATGATACTTCTATTATAGAATCCTATAATGATAAATTTAATTTACCTGAACCTAATCCAGAAGTATTAAAACATTATTATTATTTATGTTCTCAACAACCAATAAAAGAAGCTACACTTATGAAAGCAATTAATGAAGCAGAAATTCAAGCAAAATATAATAAAATTGCACATTATGAATATTTAAGACAAAAATCTTTACAACAACAACGACATAAACGAACTCGATTTTTAAATTCACATCAATCTAGAAAGTTCGATATGGAATTGAAACATTTAAACAAAACAAATCATCATACTACTAATAATAATAATAGTAGTATCAATAGTAACTATAGATTAAGTCTATGTAGACCTGAACAATTTACACATTTATTACAAAAAGAGAATAAACCAAATAAATCATTTCAATATCCGAATAAAGATGATCCCTATTCAATTATGATGAAAAAATCAAAAAAACAACGATCAATATTGAGTAGTACAGTTCATAATGTAAGTTACTTCATTAATTGAAGGTTAATGATTTCTTTTTTCTTTCTATTATTCATTTTTTTTTTATTTAAACACATAAATATTGGTACAAGGAAGCATCAGATAAATAAGTACCACACAAATCTCATTTGATTTATGTGAGGTTTGTGATACTGTCCAGGTGCCCAAACTGAAACAGGTGGTTTTCTTAGGGGACCACACCCGGAGCCTTTGACCTAAAGGTCTAATCCACAAGGCAGTGGAGGATCTTGAGGTGATGCACTTCTATGGTAGCCGGTGACCAACAATTGATTCATTCGTAAGCCATTTGTTCCTTCAGGATATTGGAGTCCATGTGTACCATTTGTTTGGAATCAGGGTTTTCCAACTCCTCTAGGTGGACTTTCCGTGTCCACCAACCCGGTTAAAGCGCTTTTCGTCCTCTCAATTTCGTAAATAACAGCAATGCCACGAGAAGGTAGAAGTCTTTGATCTAAAGTTCATCTTTTAAAGTAACGGATAGATCACTATGAATATAAATTTCAGACCTCTACTACAGTTAATAATTACTTTTATTGCCTAGTAGTTTAGTCAAAATATTTGTAATACCTTATTACTTTCAAATTTTAAAATAATTAATATACAAAATATACTACTGTATTATATGACTCTACGGTAGCTACTACTTGAACTGAATGCAGAGATTGTAATTTCTTAATTTCGTTGATATGCTAATGATTTCATTACTACCTGATAGTTCCTTTGCTTCCTGATGTATCATACGAAACTAAGTCATAATTCATTTAATGAGTGAAAAATCTGTAGACTATTTTTATATGTAAATGACTGATTTCTACTGTTCATTCGTTCTGTGTTAACTGTTTGTACTTGTGTTAATGAATTATCGTTTAGCCTTTATTTAGTTCTCAGTAGTTCGTCAAACTGTGCAAATCATATGGCATAGTATTATGATCGATTTAGTGCCGCATCGACTGAATGTGTTATCTAGTGGTTAAGTTATATTTATCCTACTGGTTTCACTACATATTTGTTATCAAGTGTCACTAAATATTTTCATAATTGTTTCCGTTATATCACGTTCAGATAAGATTTTGACATTAGAGATATTACTTTCGGTGTCCAATCAGTGAAAGTTAATTAGGATCATAATTTTTGGACGAACCAATAAGATTTAAGATAGCACCTCTTGGAAATTCACTTATACAAAAGGACAAATATCATCCTGGCATTATAGCTGGTGTTAGTTCGTGAAACCCTATCTCTAATTCCTAACCGTATCACTAAACTCTAACACCTAATCCCGTTTGCTCATGATAATTTACAACCCTTTTTTAAATCTAGTAAATGACCGAAGTTTCTCAGAGTCACTTTATTGTCGTTTAGAGGTTGTCAATAAATTATAACCTCCTCGAAAGTCGTTTGTAAGCGTGGATAATTAACAAGCTTGTGAACTATTTATTGATATTACTTAAGAAGTTTGAAATTTTGCTTAGTTTCAAGTTCTATCAAAATCTTTCTATATAATCCAAATAACACTTGATATTAAACAAGTAGATTAAAGCAGGATAATAAAAGCTTTCTATTTAAGGTGATAAGGTATTACAACTACCCATAATCCTTTTGTTACAAGCACGTTTTGAACAAAAGTTACAAAAGATCGATACACCATTTAACAGCTTTTGAATCTTTACATCTTAAGTTGTTTTGTGTTCAAATGGTTAATATCCGTTGAAAAAGTATATCGGACTATCAAAGTAAGTTTATTCAGTTGAATAGACATAAGACCAGTTTTTTTTTTCTGCACAAAACTGTTAATAATAGAAACTGAGATGAACTTCTTGTTAGAATCCCCCCCTCCAATAACTGCTATAAAATTCTTCAGAGAGCATGATGTTGGAGATAAGTAAACTAATTAGTGTTCTATGAGAACTCTCAAGGAAATTTAAAAAAACAGCTTATTATGACTTCTTTAACTTGACTGAAAAAATAACTAGTTTACTAATAGTTTTGGCATGTTTTCTATAAGATTTTTAAGGTTTTAATTAGTGCCCTCTGGTCCTACACATAATCTACTTATCGAAGTGAAGTCACTTCTCATTTTTTGTTTTCTTATCGTGGTGTAGGTAGCGACTAGGTAATCAATGTCTAATCGTTCCAATATCAGACTTATAACTTATATAAGCTCTACGTGACACCCATAAAATTGTCAATAAACTCACCGCTTCTTATATAGCTATTAAGTTACCAACTCTAATTTATGATTGTACAGTAGAAATAGTTTTCAATCAAATAAACTAATGTTCCAGTAAGCAAAGATTGATAGTGGCTAGCAGTGGAACCCTGGACGCTCGTTTCGTCCTATTCAACACTAGTCAGCTGGATCTACCTGCATCTCAGAGTTGATGTTTACCCTGGGACTCAAACTTAGTACCATTCGCTTCAAACGCCATCGCGTTATCCACTAGACCACTGAGTCCTGATAGCCACTTGCTTGTGCAATGGGGTGAAGTTGGAATCTACTTAGTATTGTTTGTTTGAATCTTCTCATTGATATTTTTTGGACTGCAACTGGTCAGTCTCTGATTAGAGACAATACTAAGTAAATTAGTGTTCCAGTAATTTCAATTGATAGAAGTACTTTTCCTTTCAATGAAAGTATGTTGATAACTTTTGGGTTTTTTTTTAAACAAAACTTTATATTCTCAAGTGGTTTTAAGCAATAAGCGACTAACTCCAGTCAGACTAATCCTGCAAAGGAATATTCGTGTTGTTTACTATTAAGTACTACTTTCATTTGTCTTTTGTTTTGGTCTACATATGAATAGAATCAGATAATTGTATGATAATATGAAATCACATCAATATATTTGACCGGAAAAGTTAGTTTATTCAGTAAGGAAATGAGAGAAGACGTAAGTCAATCAGAGAGGAGATTGACCATGAACTGAGTGAATAATTTAATGGACAGTTTATCATCTAGGCCTTTAATACATAGAACTACATTGTATTTAATCACTAATGAAATAATAACTATCAATAATATTGTACAGTATTCTGAAAATCATTTGACTGATTTCATGAATTAATGAACTAATTAGCCAATTTAGCTGGATTATGTATTTCTAAATGATTTATAGGACTTAGTTTAATACCTAGTTATGGAACATAAGTAAACGATCCATTTCGATTCACTTGATATTTTTTGTTTGAATCTTCCCACTAATGCTTAGGTTTGTAACCGGTCAGTCTCTAATTGGCATATGTGCATACTATGAGGATTCACAAGCATTATATACAAAGATGGGTAGTGGCTAGCAGTGGAATCCATGACGCGCGTTTCGTCCTATATGGGTTTCGTCAGCTGGATGTAACTGCATCTCATAGTTGATTTTCACTCTGGGACTCGAACGCGATGGCGTTTGAAGCGAAAGGTACCGGATTCGAGTCCCAAAGTGACACATCAATTCTAAAATGCGGGTAAATCCAGTTGACAAGTCCCAAATAGTACGAAAAGCGCTTCCTGGACTCCACTGCTAGCCACTGTCCACCTTTGATTATGATCCGTTTTCATCTTCATTATCAATAGTTTATGTCACAACCTAATCGTCTCGTAATTTGTTAATTATTTGAAGCAAGTTCTCATTCTGTACTTGATTAATTTGTGTTGTATAAAGTATTGAAAGCAGTTAGTAGGGTGGGTGTGATGAATCTTTTGATGTTATTATGAATAAGTTCGCAGACAGACGTTTAAAATCCTTTAAATAATTGGCATGCATTATCTCATTACATACAAATCACTCATTATATTCACATTTTCCTTTCATATATACATATATCTTCTGGTACAATGAGATTGTGGCATTATAACTGAAGTACAAAAAGTAATATACAAAGCTCTACACTACTGTATATAACAAATATACAATAATTTTAATGGTTGATATCATGAGTCAATTGGAGCTAGACCACCATGGAAAACCTGGAAGCACTGGATGGCCGTTTCATCCCATTGTGGGACTCCTCAGCAGTGTGCATCCACGATCACGCCTCGCCAGATTCGAACTCAGGGCCTATCAGTTTCGCACGCTAGCTCTTAAACTGTAGACCACTGAGTCGGCATCCAGCAGTGTTAATGTCTAACTTCAACCAATCGACGTAATTAAACAACCAATCACAATTGTCTTCAGTGAGTTACTATCTCACAACAGACCTAGTTGAACTCCAACAAGAAAATTTTTATAAATTCTAATCTAACCAAACACCTATTTTCATGAACGTGTATTCATTATCATGAAGATTGTAATTTTCTTCTACAAAGATTTCATTGAATTTAATATGATTTTATTAATTTCCTTATTTTGTTGAGATATTTTATGCTGACAATTCCAAACTGCATTAGACAATATAGTATTAGGCTAAGAGATCGTAACTACTAAAAACTGGAAATGAGTAGTATCAGTTTGTTAAAGAAAATATTTCTGCACTAAGTTGAAATACTTTGTTATTTAAGAAAGTTTATTATGATCTACTACGTTTGAATAACATCAGAAACGTTATGCAATAAAATCATGTCTTTTCATAGTTGAACAGGTTTATTGCTCAGTTACTATGCTCACCATTTTTGTTAGACTACTGATGTGCATCAATTAAAAAAATTAATCATTAACGGTGATTTCTTACTTTGTAAGTATATTTTCTAAACATTATAAATTTAGCAAAGATGGATAGTCCTATTTGGGATTCGTCAACTGGATGTACCTGGATCTGAGTTGATATTCGTTCTGGAACTCGAATCCAGTACCTTTCGCTTTTAACACCATCGCGTTATCCACCCAGCTACTGAGTCCTGATAGCCACTTGCTTTTGCAATGGGGTGAAGTTTAAATTCAATTAGTATTGTTTGTTTGACGAACCGCGCGTCCTGGATTTCACTGCTATCCACTATCCATCTTTGCTTATAGTGCTTGTGAATTAATGCTATATTGAGGCAATACGCACAG